CCAAACAGATCATTGCAGCATCCCATAATCCCCTCTGTTTCAGCCCTGTTTCAAAAGTGCTGATTCTCTGTCTGTTACTTTAGATGAAAATAAGGAGCCACGCCCCCACGTTGGTGATTGGCTAATGTTTACACAAGCCAGAAAATCGTTATGACATCATAAAGTGGCCAAAATCTGATCAGCTCATTTTCAGACAGGTTTTTATATAAATGGATCAGGAAAAATAGTGAGTGAATCTTTTGTCCTGAAACTTTCAGAATCTGTTCACACAGAGGGGACACATGTTGATGTAGAAGAGACATGAAATGAAAAAGTGGATTTTGCACGATAGGTGACCTTTAAAGGGGGATTTCATGTACAGGAACTATGGTAATGTTGTTAAGTAGGCCAAGACTAATAAATATAATGTAAATAAAAAAACTAATGAATAACATTTAAAGTACTAGTGGCATTTTCTTGCCTTCTGCCCACAGGGGGCAGCAACTAAAAAACGTAAAAGCATAACAATGTTCATATTTATATTTATGCTTTACCAATAGGGTTTTCAAGCCTTTATTTTTGGTTTTAGAGAAATGATTAAGAATAACTAGTTGGTGGCAAATGTGAGTCTTTTCTTTCCCGACGCACCTTCTGCACGTCAACAAACAGCCGCACATAACAGGTTCAACCAAATGTGGCTTGGAGTGCAATATCTTAATGCTTTTCCAGGTTTTGTGAAAGGTCTGTCAACACGATTAGAACATTCATCAGCCTTAAAAGGCCGTTTCTTTTGGGGGGTTCCTACCTGAGAAAGTGATATTAAAGCCTTCATAACTCATTGAAAAATCCGATATGAATCGTAGCTGAGCGCTGAAGTTCCCGTAGAGCCCTGCTTTGACGCTAGGGGGCAGCACTGAGCCGGTGAGTCGAGCCACTGGAACAAGGAAATTGGTGTCCTCAGTGATAGAAAGGTAGTCGTGGTTCTCCTCTAGATGAAACGTGTGGAACACCAGATGGACTCCTAGAAATCAAAGGATAAATGGATGGATAGATACAGAGTAAGTCACAGACTCATTAATGGCATCAGATGGAAAAAGAACCCAGAAACACAGCAATCTTGAACATGTGACCTTATTATCCATGCAAATAGAATGGGCGTTTCCTTTATTTCTGTGTATGTGAGTGCTTACCTTTCCCATGTGACACCTCTATAGTCCATGTGCAGTTTAGAGAATTGGGGTAGTAGTCAGGAAAGCCAGGAGACAGAATTGTCCCTGTTTTACCATAGACATAACCTCCACAAAGAGCTGCAAGAAGAAAGTAGGAGTAGGGTTAATTATAAACCATTTGCACTGAGCTTTGAAAGACCTGAACAAATTCAAAAAAATGACCAATTATAACACTTGAAGAAAAAAAGACATATCTTAACTTAAGTACAGCACAAAATGATAGATTTCTTGCTCTAAATGTCATTAGTTAACAGACTGGAATTAAACTGAATTCAGCCTTTTTAAAGCTGCTGAACTGCAAACACCGGCATAATTGTGTCACTCTTGAGCATGGTGTCAGTATAGTGTTATGGCAGAATCTGTATTACAGCGTGTTTCTGGCATATTCATTGAGGTCACATGGTAAGCTATATGATGTGTGTTACTGAGTTGGGTCACACAGAGTTAGAGAGACAATGGTCGTTCTGAATTATCAATAGATGTATTCATTTTAAGTGAGCTGACACCAAGGTTAGAGGAAGTTCAGAGAAGGCCTCAGGTTATAAAAACAGTTAACCTTTGTTAGTTGACGACTCAACTAAAAGGATGTCATGAGATAAGTAAACTTCCGACATCTGGAACATACAAGTACAGCATTCAGAAGCAGAACATGTGATGTCGTGTGTTAGGTAATGTAAGGAAAATGAGGGTGCGTCATTTTAGAATCCTATCCCTCTGTAAAGTTCTACTGGGTGGGAGCATTGCTGTAGGACTGCTTGAGAGCAGAGGTCATGTTTTCCTCGTTATTATTGATTGTTGTACAACGAAATAATAATTGATCATCAACTCTATCTGTGTTTGTGTTTTATTGATTCCTCTGTTTCATTCTTTCCTGTTGTGAGTGCTAAATTGCCACAACAATGTTCTCTCCACAAAAATATCCTTGATATTAAAAATAATTATAGGGAGAAAAAAACTCTAATAAAATGTAAATCAATGAAAGTACAGATGTTGAGTGGGTCAACCTGATTGTAATGCATGTATATATTGCTTAAATAATCGCCTCAGATTGAGGTGATTATTTTCAGTTGGTTCACAACTATAAGTGACCCCTTTCACATTGTCGATTGAGACGTCATTATTTTAGAGATACGAATCACAGCTTCTTTAAACAATTACACAAACCATTGCCCAACCTCAACTGCGTTGTTATAGTGGCCAGAATTACTGTAGGGGTCCGCTAACTTTTTCACAAAATAAACAGTTCAAGACACTGTATCATCTAATAGTGACATTTCTGACATAAATGGAATCATTTTGTGTGTCCACAAGATACAGTACATTCACTAAAGCTGTAATGTTGATTTAAACAAATCAGTTTGTGTCAGTAAATATGAATTGTAAATAAGTATAATTGACTAGATACATTAAGAGAATAAAAAGGGATAAAGCCAGATACAGTTAATTTGGAAACACAAATAAACATCAGGGACAATGTGACGAAGAGAGTGGTGTGTTGAGAAAAAGAGTGAGGGACTGGTGTGTGCGTTACACCTCGACTCCACACAGAGCCGGACCACTGATATGGAACTAATTGATTTAGGATATAGCAGAATGGAAAATACTATAGTAAAGTAATGGAGAGCAAAAGAAGGTTTACTGTGCCTTACTGACTGTTTGAACTAAGATAAGATACTGTTTTATATTGACTCTTTTTTGTTACTCTCACTGTGCCTTTATCTCTATCAGCTCTTTTCTGTTTAATTTAATTTAAATGCATCTGGATGTGTGTGTTCCCATTAAACATCCCAGAATATAAACTAAATCAGAGACAATAAAATGTTTTTCTTTTCTGTTGTAGAGTAACTCCAGGTTTATATATATTTGAATGCAGAACAAGTCCCTTAAGATTCTAATACAAACAGTCGTATGATTAATTCGGGAATTTGGGTAAAATGTTGACTTTATGAACACAGATGTCTAGGGTTTGTTTATTTTCCATACTGCAGCTATACCAGCGTGTGTTTGTAGAGAACTGCTGTGTCTCCGCCTCTCCATCCCTCTGTCTATCAGTGTCTTACCTTCCAAACTATATCATATTTCAACAGAACTGGAGAAGAGCAGCTGTGAAGGAAGCCACTCTCTCTCAGAGAGGCTAGCAGTCATGTGTGATTTGGTTTCCCACTCCCATTAGCTAAAGCTAGGACACTGTCAGAGTAAATGACCCTTGTCGTGCCTGTGGGCCTACATCGTACCTACTGTGTTTGAGTACACACATCAGAGTATGTGAATAATCTCTGTGTGAGACGTTAGAGGCAGATTGTTAAGGTATGTGTGTGAGGATATGTGAGCTGCATAAAAATGCGATAAAACAACAAGAGTAAGCCAAAAGAAAAAGACTGTTCACGACTCTAACAATGATCAGAGAAGCAAGTCAAAGTGTGGCAGCCTTCAATGTTAAGTAAAAGAATTAATGCTGAGACAAAATGTATGGCTTGTTTTCCAGAGGAGAAGTAAATAGAGGAAGATAGGATACCAGACTCCAGCTACACCCCCCTCCCTTTTCCTGACTGTTTTTGGTCTCAATCAATAATTATCTTCCTTTTAGAGAATGCCATGGCATTTTTAACTGAATGGATTCTGTGGTTTTGGTCCCTTTTAGCAAGTTGTTGTCTTTGCATCAGCTTCAGGATTAAAATGTCACTGTGCTCCTTCAATATTCTCCCTGGCACATAAAGAAATAGCAGACAGTGCTCTGTATTCTGTGTTTGGAGATTTAGCTGACCTGCAGGAATAAGACGAGTGGTTTGGGTCCAACAGGCACTGAAAGGGAATGGTCTCTGCACGCCTGTGGGAGCTCTACTTGTCATTTTGTTTTTCTTTTGGACACAATATTGTGAGAATAATGCATTTTTGGTGGCTTTGTAATGCAGTCGGTATGGCAGAAAAAGGTTGTCTGTTCCTATTAAAATGTTAACTGTGCCTTCGAGACTGTACTGTAAATAAGATTACTGTTGTTAATGCAACTATGTGTGTGTATGAATTGCTTTGAGTATGGCTTAGGGAGTTTTTAAAGATGATTTTCATTGTGCTATAAATTGATGTGAGATGTCTTAGTCTTTCTCAGTGGACCAGCGTGGGTTCGCTCTGGCTTCCTCCCAGAGCTCCAAAAGATGCAAATCAGTTGAGCTGGACATACAGTTGCCAATAGGTAGGAAAAGAGTTCACTTACAGAACAATATGGTTAATTATCTTTAAAATAAAAAAGAATTTTCATGCTAAAACATATTTGACACTTCTTTCCAGTCCCAGGATGTTCTCAGAAAGCAAACCACGACATTTTATAGTTCTAGTTAAGGCTTACACTCACTTTAGAAAAGTGCTATTCTGAAATAGTGCTGTCACTGTGATGGCATGCTTGGCTGAAAATTGAAATGTCACAGTGGCCGTTTAAAACTGCTTATGTTATATGGCTGATACTGTGAGATAGAGTGCCTTAGTATGAACTCACTCCCAAGTTGAGACATCCTGACTTTGGCTATCAAATTGGATTCTTTTCAATCGGCAGAATGAATCAGACGCTGTGTATTCATCTCCCATGATAGCTTAAGCTGTGTGCAGAAGCTGGATGGGAAGCCTGCAGTGGTCAGGGAGCATCTGTTTCAGCAATGCCTGTTGACCCGCATCATTTATCTGAGGCTCGATGTCCAACTTGGGCTATTGTGGTAAAACCTACTCTGGAGTGGGGACATATTATGGCTGCCAGTCACACATAGGGAAAAAGGAGAAAACTGGGAAATAAGGTACTAATAATAACACCGACACCCCCTCACACTCCAATATTACTAAGTTCGAAAAATTAAGTTAGAAACACAACCTTCAAGCTTTATATTCATTTTGTTTGGACCCAATGTTCCTATTTAATCATGTAAAGGTTTGTCTTGTGATATCTTAGTGTAATAATAAACCGCTGTGTGAAACTTCACTATCCCAGTTTCATCTCTAACAACAAACACGGAGTTGGCGGCTCGCTGAAGGGAGTTGAGCATAATCATTTACTGTGGACAATGCCACTGTGTTGAAGCCGAGGCTTGGTTGCGTGTGAGAGTGACTCAGCTGCAGCACTGGAAACTCTTCCCAAAATGATGCCTGCTTATTTCCCAATGTACTTTGTTTTGGAGCTGCAGTTCAGTGTGACAGGTGACTCAGAGTTTAAAGGGACAGCTTTGATTAATTTTTAATACCGTCCATAACTAATTAAAAACAAGTCAAGGCAATATACTTGAAAGCATTTTCAAGTGTGATGAAAATTATTTATTTGCTAAAATTGTAAGATTTATTTTGAGTAGTTTCTTAATACATGGTCCAATTTTTTATTTTTAAAAAAAAGAGAATGGTACAACGTGGTCCAAGGTTACAGCAGGGGTTGTTGAGTGTTCATGATTCTCCCTCTGAGTGCATGGCTTTCCTTCAGATTGCCTGTAGGTGTGAATGTGAATGATTGTCTGTCTACGTGTGGTAGCCCTGTGTTAGCCTGGAGACCTGTCCAGTGACTCACGATCAACTATCATAGTCTCCATCCCCAGAGGTCGCATCAATCAAATATGTGTCATAGTTGACTAAATTAGAGCACCATTTTGACGGATTAGTACACTAAGGATTAATTCCATGCTTACTACTTAATAACACACTTATACAAGTAAAATAAATAAATTAGATAAAAAAAGTGACTCCAAATTACCACAACAATCAGCTATTATTTCTTGGCTACAGTGTATAGATGGAGAAATACAAATAAATCCTCTCTAATGCTTCCATAATCAATCAGATCCCTTGTTTTCTTCTCCAAGATTAAATTCAGATCAACTTGTTTAGCTAATCGTAGGAGTTAGTGTAAGCCCCTTTACAACAAATGGAATGTTTTATAAAATATTTTCAATGACTTTAAGGTTAGGTTTAGACATTTACTGTTAAATGTGTTTAAAATATTTCAAACTGGATGTGACATGTTGTCCACAGAGTGACTGTGTTTCTTACATAATCACATCATTCTTGCTCTTAATTTATTTTTCTAGAGAGTACAAAAGGATTCCGCCACGATATAGGCTTTCTTTAGGAGGGCTGAAATGAGAGAAAAGAAAGACTCACCATCACAACTGGGAAGAGAGTGACTCCACTGATGATTCAGCTGACACACAATTGGCTCCTGATCACTCAGTGTGTATCCCAGATCACATGCAAACGACACACGGGAACCAATGGAAAAGATGCTGCCATGGCGACGACCATTGACTGGGATACCAGGATCAAGACAAGAGTCTGACTCCATTTTCACACCTGAGAATCACATCAAACAAGAACAAAGACCACAGAGTCAAGAGAGTGAGTGTGTGTGGTAATTACACCTTTTTAAGCTGGGTCACACTCAGAGAATCATCAGAAAAAACATTGCTGCTGTGTATGAGTGCCAGAAAGCAATTCCCTGAGCGTCAACAAAACATTTCTATCAGTGATTCATTCTTACTCTCATATCTGATGCTGAAGCCTGCTGCCGAGCGGCTGTTGTCTGTCATGAACAACAGGTACATGACGTTGGACGTTGAAATCAGGAAATTAGGTGCTTGGGTGCCGTGGTATTCGCCGATGAGAGGAGAGGAGGACGAGGGGCCATCCCTGATTTCCAGTGTGTCATAGTTGACTTCAGTCTGGAACCTAGACAAACAAAATATCAACATGTACAATAACCTCACATACACAGAGATAAAATGTATATGGAATACAAAATGTGTGTGCAGGCTGCCTCACAGAGCAGTGGAACAAAGAACTAACATGTATTGGCAGTCAGAAGCAAGTGGTGTTAACAAACAAGGCTTTTACGCAGAATGAGGATTCGCTAGAAATGAAGCACAGTTCATTTAACAATGTCAATACATGAAACTTACTTAAATAACCATAGTGATTGACTAACATTATTCCTGCCTATTTAAATGACTTTGTACTCAAATAACCAAGTAAGTACCTTGTGTAACTAACTAGGTACATTATTGACTGGCCTGTTATCTCCCTCTTACTCTCTTTTGTCTCTGACTATACTGAGTAATTGATTTGACTGTTGGCTGACAGGGAATTAGTTGTGTCTGCACGGCACTGAGAACCAGTTGGTTCTGATGTCCTGAGCGCTGTTTGTTTTCATTGTAACCATACAATACAGTAGGAACTGATCACATAAATGCATTCACCTACTCAGTAGGACATACAATAAATAGTTAGGAACAACTGGCACACTTTATAATCACAAACTGCATCTTAATATCAAACCAGCAAAATGAACAATGAACTATCCTCTGCACCAGACACAATCCTTCACAAATGATTTCCCTGGTAGGTGATGAAGACAGCTTGGCCTTTACGCCACTTCCCAAAGACACAAATCTCAGATTTAGCAATTTCAGGCTACACTGCATCTGCTAGTGGCTTGTTTACATAAAAAATGTGCAAAAAAGCAACATTAATTATTCAGTGCAGGGGTAATTTACCAACTAAATGTATATATAACAACTTATTATGCTTCTGAAAGACTGAGCTACTAATCGACTGACTAACTAATAACATGCTAGCTGACACAGCAGAAGTCAACAAAAAAAGGACTCATTTGGCAAATGTTCTGAGTAACTGCTGAACAAAATTAAAAACTCTCTAAAATAAATGACTAACCTGTCAAAGTGTATCTTCACAGCATGGTCTGGCTGTGCCTCAATCACCCACTGGCAGTTCAAAGAATCTTTATAGAAGGAGGGCCAGCCAGGAGACAGCAGGACACCAGTAGGAGCTGTTAGATGGCCGCCACATGGAGCTACAGGGAAATAAACACAAACACGAGAAAGAGAGGGATAGAGGGAGGGCAATTAATCACTTTTTCTTGTAACTCTGTTATGGCCTGAGCACTATGTCCAAAGCACGAAAAAACAATTACCTTCAAAAAGAAAGGTGTTGAAATTTACAGTAAACACATCAAAGCGGTAATTATTTCCTGAATTTTTTAAGGAAATCAAGTACCGCATATTACATTTTATGTGCGACATATTATTATTTGTCACATGAGCATTTGACATAACTATACTTGAATTCCCTGCCACTCAAAAAACGTACATATTTGGGAGATCTTCACACTTATTTAGCTAACATTCAATCTCGAACATGGCACATTCAAATCCAAACATTCGTTTTTATTTTGGATATGAAATATGGCAAAATGGTTCCTTAAGGGTGTATTACAGAAAAGTGATTCCAGTCATTTCCTGAATTTACAAGACTGTTTTAGCTATTTTAGTATTTGCTTCTATTAACTTAATCATTGTTTTCACATGAATAATAGATATGTATCAAAGACATTCATGCTAAGACATGTTGCGCTCTATATTACCCTCACAAAATCTTCATTGAGGTTTTTTTTCTATAATCTTGTGATACGTTTTTTTTTTTTTTTCAGCCCTATCAATACCACCACCATATAATGTTGGAAAATATATATTAATTTCCGCCTTGAGTGTTTAGCACTCATAAATCCAACATGTACAGTTACCTCTAGAAAACACTTCAGACCTGGAGTTCATGACCTGTTTATTATCCACTGCTCTTTCTGTCTTTTCACACTCCAACCACTTCTTCTGATTTCAAGTAGCATATACCTTTGCCTCTCATAACACTTTAAGAAAGCTAAAGAAAATTACCTTTACATAACCTATTCTGTGAATGCTGAAGCTATGGTGCTCATGAATCAGATGCACAAGAGTAAGTCATTCTAGAAATAAAATATAATTATCTTTCCCTTACCAATGGGAGGGATAATATTTTCCAATACTCCATATTTAATGAGGTGACAGCCCTATTCAATTGTGTCCACTGTCCCATTTATTAACAGCAGCCAACATTTCATAATGTCATTTTGACAATACAATCAAGATGGAGGGGATGGAAACAAAGAGAAATATAAATATTCACAGGCAAATTAATAACATTTGCCTTTAAAAAGACATACCATCACATCCACTTTCCTTTTTATTCTTATCATTACCCCCACATAAGCTTATCTGCAGACTAATGATACATCTCTGGGTATTGGAGTCTGCATAAAATGAATGCGTCATCCTGAATTAGTTTCAGCAGAACTTGTGCCAATCTGGTTTACGATTATTGTTAAGAGAGGAATATGCGTGCAAACAGGCTGAACAAGTGAGAGGAGGCTGGAGGCTAAAGCAATTAAAAGAGCAAATGTATACAATTCCTAAGGTGTATAAGCATATTAAATCTGCTTTGTCACCTTAGAATCTGGCAAGAAGAACATTTTCTAAGATGTTCCTATTGCACGCAGTAAACAGTTTGTGTGTGGGTTTACCTTCACAGCGAGGTACTGCCGCAGACCAAACAACATTTCCCTCCTGGATGATGCAAGTGACCTGATCAGACCCCTGGAAACAAGACATCAACATATGGTAATAAGGTACATCATTTATTTTAAGATAAGATACGTATAGAAAGAATAAATCAATAAATCAAGACACTGTATATAGACAAGTAAAATAAATCAAGTACAGGAGATTGCATAGTGTTGTGTCTCCTCAAATGTGTTAGTTATGTTTATGTATTTTCTCTGTCATTCCAAGTCTAGTCAGGTTTTCATGTTATTTCATGTCATGTCTGTCTATTTATGTCACATCTCGTTTTCCATTTCCTGTTTCATTTTGTATTTACCTCTTGTCTCTCATTCCAGGCCCTGTTACTTCCTCCCCTGATTGTTTCCACCTGTTCCCACTCACCTCATGTTTAAATAGTCCTGTCTCTCCCCTGTCCTGTGTCAGTTCGTCTTGTTTGTTTGCCACGAATGGTCATGCCAGGCCTCAGCAAATAGAGGATCGAGTCAAGTCAAGTCAGGTTGTGTTATTTTGCTATTTTTGTAGACTTAAGTTAATCTTAAGTTCCTTTTTTTGTTACGCTTTGTTTTTTCTCCTTGTGAGCTCTTTTTGTTATTCTAGTACCTACTCTGTTACCTACTCTATTACCTACTCTGTTAAGAGGGATTTTTGTTCTTTGAAATTAAAAATACATTTTTGTTACATTCAAGACTTTGTCTCTGGGTCGTGTATTTGGGTTCTCCAGTCTGTGTCAAGGTCGTGACACATAGTTAATGATTTTAAGTATTAACACACCTATTACCAATACCAATGTGCATTCTTACAATTCTAATAAACATCTTATATAACTGTTAGTAATACTCTATTACCTGTGTCCTAATGAATCCTTGGTCACAGCGAAAAGCCACGGAGCTGCCGAGCTGAAACTGGTCTCCATACCTCTGACCGTTGACAGGAACTCCTGGGTCATGACATTCATTCTGACCAAATGCTACAGAGGAACAACAACGAGAGAAGAGTTAAAGAAGCAGACAATACACACAGAACTAAGTAAAGAATACAACACAAAGACACATTTCTTTGGGTCAGAGTAAGCCCAGAGAAAGTGGCAGAAAAGATTGAGAAAAATGACGCATTGTGCCTACATACCTGACTGTGGGATTTGTATCGATAGAGTGGTTCAGAATAAATGTCCGTATTTCAGAATTTACACAACGTTCCCTGGTTTTCAATTTATTTCAATACCTGAAAATTGGTTTTACCTGGAAAAAACAGGGTTTGAAAAACCACTGCTGTATCACTGTCAGTAAAAGTGACACCTCTACTGATATGGAAATATGGGAATGGAATTATCTTCACGTGGATTCAACCCTGTCATGTTTGGCTTATACCATCCCCATTCCAGAGATTAACCTGATCCCACCCAGAGCACATGCCCAGTGATTGGACATGTCTCAGGTTGATTAGCTACTGATGGAGAGGAAATGATAGTGGAGAGAGAGAGAGAGAGAGAAGGAAACGGCACTTATAAAACAAGTATGTATATGTCAAATACAAGTATGACATACCGACAGATGAAGTATGACATACCGACAGATGAAGTATGACATACCGACAGGTGAAGTATGACATACCGACAGATGGATTCAAGCCCATTTGTGTGTTGTGTTAGGTATAAAGGGCATGCCAGAGGAAAAAAACATGCACTTTGACACCAGATATGGAGAGAAGTGGTGGAATAGATTGGCAGGAACAAAAAAGGAGAGGAATGTATACATATATATGAACAAACACAATGACAATTTACCAAATATTGAAATGATATGTGTAAGCTCGAGAAGGAAAAGAGAGAGTCTACGATGAGTGTGTGGGTTGTGGCTTTTGAAAAAAAAAAAACTAATTAATTTTAGATAGTAAATTATTGGAATTAAACATTTGGTCTAAAAATAGGTAATAGAGAATATGGTTTTGTTAACAGTCCATTAGTGAAAACACTTTTTGAACATAATAATCCCTAATCCAATTATGGCGATGATGTCTTTAAATATCCTTAACTGTCATTACATTGAAGTAAATCATCAGACGGGGAAACCATTTACCCTATGGGATCAATTTCCCCTGACTTGTATTATTATATATTTGCACATAACTGCTCAATCTGGTGTCAAAGTTCATATTTGACTTTCAAACATTCATATAAATAGAGACTGATGTAGCCACTGAAACTCAAATTGATATTCATATATGCATTAAAATGTTAATGGGCCAAATTACAGATACAGCACAAAGATGCCTGATTTTTATTAAATCCCTAGATACAATTAATATGATCATTTCAAATTACATTCCTAGAAAGTTTCATGATCACAAACTATATGAATAAAGTTCAGCTTTTTTGGTAAAGAGTACAGGTAAGTACCTTATATACAATCCTGTTGACCATAGAAATAATAAAAAAGCAAGCGAGTATAATCATTTGTATTTACTCTTAGACATATTATTAAGTTAAACAGGATTCTGATGGGATATGTCTGCTTCCAATATTGCATGTAACCTTTCATTTGTGTTATGGCAAAAAAGTTTTAGAGGTAGGATCTTTTTGTAATACTCTGCTGTGCTGAAAAAAAAGTATTCTTTCATTTGTCAAATGTCACCTCTCAAGGAAGAGTCAGAGACAAGGTCATTTGGGAGGCAGTGTGTGAAATGGTGACAAAACCGCATGCTAATCACAGAGAATGAATCAAGAATAAACC